GTGTTTTATGGTGAGGGATGCGTTGCCATGGAAACGGCATATGATGACATCCCATAATTGGCGTAGAGCTGTTGAGGGCCGGACCATTAGCCATCATCTGAAGTGTGGTGCAGTTTGGACCATTTTCCATTGACTTAAGACAACATTGTGTTTTATGGCGAGGGAACGATGGGACCGTGTCCATTGGAGTTACAGCGACACCGTGTTTTATGGCGAGGGATTCGTTGCCATGGTAACGCCATATTAAGTAACATCAAATTTGACGTAGAGCTGTTCAGGGCCGCAGTGTTAACCATCATGTGAAGTTTGGTGGCGTTCTGAGTATGTCAGTTGGCGTTATGACATCATCGTGTTCCATGGCGAGGGATGGCCCGAGCATCGAGCGAACGCGAACTTTGGGGCCAAATCACGGCTACGCCGTGCGAAAGAAAAAGACTTCCGTGATAACTTTGAATTGCCCATGTCTCGAGACGCTACCCGACGAATTTCGAGAACGTACGTCGGCATCATCTCTGCTCTCGCCTTCACCCTGGTGCCTTGTGCCATTGGCATAGCCATAAACCACTACAAACCCAAATACTCACCGTTCATCAAGAAAGTGAGACTGAAATTTGAAAGCAAACATTTTGGACTTGTCATATCGGGAAAACCAGCATGCACAATACCAGAAAACTGAACCATTGTTTTATTTTATACACCTGTGCTTTTACAACTGTAAAACATAATGAAAAAGGCCACGTTTCCATGAAAAGTCATCATGGCATTGGTGTAGTTTTTGGTACAAATAAACAGGAAGTCCTTTAACGCTGAAAGCAGACCTTGAAGCCTCCAGATAATGTTTGCCACATTTGGAATTAGGCAGGAACAGAACATTCAGTACATTTCATGTTGCGATTCATTAACTGACCCTTGTAACATGTTGTTGCTTTCTCCTCCGGCTGGTCTCGGCATCCTGACAGTTGCAGCTGTCCTATTGTTCGGTCTGTCTTATTTCGCCATCAAAGACGGTGCTCGTCCTCACACCGGATGTGCTGGCCGTGGCGGCTCTGATGCCTCTGATTGGATTTACGCTGGGATATGTGATGTCTAGGATATGCAGACTAAGTCCAAAGTAAGTGAAAACACTCTATAATTGGGTTGCTTTCATTGTTTTGTCGTACGGATAAAGTCCCTGGGAGAAGATAGATTTCGTGCGGAGGACGAAAAACGCGATAAATCGCGTTTTTCTGACGCGAAATTCAAAATGGCCGGCTTCCTGTACGTTATTTTATACCCCTCCAAGAGGCTTTTTGGTTTGTCTCCGCACCCTAGATATGCGTAGCGAGTTTCGTTCGTTTACGTGAAAGTTAAAGTGGGGGGAGTTTACGTTAAAAACGGAAGTGGGCGTGGCCTATGCAATTTTTTACGCAAAGTTCCGGAACCAATTACACATCTGAAGTTGCACCACTTCTGACGCGCGTGCAACATTTGGTGAGTTTAGGGTGAACATAGGGTCTTCGCCGACCTAGGTCTCAGACCCTAATAAATAAACATAATATCAGATCACACGTTGTAACGCTACTTATAATAGTTTTTTGGGTTTACCTAAAGTATGTTTAAGTTGGAAGACCATTTGTATTTTTACTTTTGCTGTGTTGCTTAGTCATTAAGAGATAGATTAATACAAATAAATCATACATAGATACATGAAAACAATAACGACTTGAGATGCATTCGTTTCTTTCCACAAAATTGTTAAATTATCGATATCTTTCACTAAAAACATATATGGGTAGGATATAACATTTCTTAACACCAGTGTCAGCTGCATACTGAACCGCAACTGGCTTCCCAACCATCTGTGATGACAAAAAACATACCGGTACATGCTGAGATTCAAGGGGAGCAAAGAGAAACTTTCCCTCAACGAGTCAATGTGGAAACAGCATCTGATGTCAGACTCTGCACGTTCATCATACTGCAAAGTACACGTCAACCATTCAAATGAAGCAGTACACATGATGTTTTTACATATGCAGGTGTAAACTCTGGCTCCTTTTACTTTTTTGCTGATTAATGGTATGCTGGACTTTGACTGAACTCTAAAAGCTGCTGCTGTCCTGGCTTCACATTGGTGATATTATGCATTCCTGTTATTGTATTATCAATCAACACTAATCAAGTATTTGATGTCATTTGCCCGAGTTTTTAAAATTCCCTTGTAGACTACTAAAAGAATGCAATCCAATTCAAGTTGGGCTTGGAATAAAGCAAGTAGGCTGGAAAACTGTGTGGATAAACCCAACTAAACTCAATAAATAGCAGGTTAAATATGAGTAATACTCAATTTATTCTCAAATGAATACTGAAATAAAATGCTAGATGCTGAATTTATGTGTATTGACGTCTAATGAATGCAAAAACAAACTGTATTGCCTTAGCTGGTAATGTATTTAACTTGCTTTGTGTGCCAGGTGAGAGCCGCAGCCCAGCCGTGTTGGGATGAGCACCAAAATGAACGCCACATTACTCTACAAGGGAATAACTGACATTTACAATGAGGCAAACATCTCTGGCAATGGAAGTGTGATGGGTGTCTTGAACATCCCCCCTTCTCTAGACAAAGTCATCGACATCTTCGTGGTCGGCATGCTCTTCATCCTCATGATATCTCTTGGCTGTACGATGGAGATTTCCAAAATGAAGACCCATCTCTTTAAGCCAAAAGGAGTATCCATTGCTCTGCTGGCCCAGTTCGGCATCATGCCCCTGACTGCTTTCTCTCTAGCCAAAATCCTGCAGATGGAACCCATCAAGGCTGTGACTGTGCTAATCTGCGGCTGCTGTCCAGGGGGAAGCCTGTCCAACATTTTCTCCCTGGCTATGAAGGGTGACATGAACCTCAGGTGAACCCTCATTCATGTTTTGATTCCAGGTAACAACATTGAAGGCAGGCCAGCCTAACAAAGCTTCTTCTCTCTCTGACACCTCCCCAGCATCGTGATGACCACCTGCTCCTGCATCGCTGCTCTGGGTATGATGCCGTTGCTGCTCTATATCTACTGCCAAGGTTTTGACGGTCTGGAAGATGCCGTACCGTACGTCGGCATCATCTCTGCTCTCGCCTTCACCCTGGTGCCTTGTGCCATTGGCATAGCCATAAACCACTACAAACCCAAATACTCACCGTTCATCAAGAAAGTGAGACTGAAATTTGAAAGCAAACATTTTGGACTTGTCATATCGGGAAAACCAGCATGCACAATACCAGAAAACTGAACCATTGTTTTATTTTATACACCTGTGCTTTTACAACTGTAAAACATAATGAAAAAGGCCACGTTTCCATGAAAAGTCATCATGGCATTGGTGTAGTTTTTGGTACAAATAAACAGGAAGTCCTTTAACGCTGAAAGCAGACCTTGAAGCCTCCAGATAATGTTTGCCACATTTGGAATTAGGCAGGAACAGAACATTCAGTACATTTCATGTTGCGATTCATTAACTGACCCTTGTAACATGTTGTTGCTTTCTCCTCAGGCTGGTCTCGGCATCCTGACAGTTGCAGCTGTCCTATTGTTCGGTCTGTCTTTTTTCGCCATCAAAGACTTTGTATGGCTCGTCCTCACACCCGATGTGCTGGCCGTGGCGGCTCTGATGCCTCTGATTGGATTTACGCTGGGATATGTGATGTCTAGGATATGCAGACTAAGTCCAAAGTAAGTGAAAACACTCTATAATTGGGTTGCTTTCATTGTTTTGTATGATGTGAGGGGATAATTGGTTGTATACTTGATTAAAAACACACAATAGAAACAAATAAAGGTTGTTTGCAACCCTTTGGTTTAATCTTAAGGGCCTGATCAATAGCTATATAGTGAATATAATTACTATAAACACTATTATACAAGTTTATACAATATGATGCTCCAACAGAGGAAACTGTAAAAAGTATAGTTATAACAGTAAAAGGCTACTTACACATTTATGCATCAGTGTTAATTAATAAATAGGTAATAGTCAAACCTTCACAAGAGCCGTCTTTTACTTTTGATACTGTAAGTTAATTAAGCAAAAAAATACCTATGTCATTTTAATTAAGGATCTAAATCCCGTCTCAAAGTTTTATTTGAAACCAACCTAGTGTTAAAATAAGTGAAGAAAAACTAGATAAAAAATCTAAATCTGGGAAAAATCATATTATTACAAGACATGTCAATACAATTGGTGCATTGAGTATGAAATTGAAACAGTCACATGTAAACTAATGCCAAGTGACTCACCTCTCTTTAGATGCAGCAGGACAGTCTCCATGGAAACAGGGTGTCAAAACATCCAGCTGTGCACTACCATCCTTAAAGTGGCCTTTTCCCCAGAGGTCATAGGACCCATGTTTCTCTTCCCGCTGGTATACTACATATTCCAGGGTGCGGAGGCCCTGCTGCTGACCCTCTGCTTCAGATGTTACCGAGCATTCAAGCCACGGGCCGAGGGTGACTGTCACAGCTATCCCAGTGTTTTTGTACAGCTGTGTCCAGCACAGACATTTGGAGCTATTGGTGTTTTGAATTAACACTATTAAAATGTAAATGTTCCTTTCTTACACAGACGGTGACGATGTTAAACAAAAGGGAGGTGAAGCGGCCACAAATCACCACCTAGTGCTGGACGAGGAGCCGAATCCTACCAAGTGAAGACTCCATAACATGTTCTACACTCAGGCCTGTGATAGGGAAGACTGGGGAAACAAGGGAGACTAATACTCTTAATACAGTCTACTTAATCAATTCTATAAAATGGTGACTATATGTACTGCTTAATATGCCATGATTTATAAAAAATACATTTTGTATTTATATTTTTGTACTTAAAATATGTGCAAATTTTATGACTTACAATTTGACAATAAATGAATATGTGGATAAAATATATTGATGTGTCATGTGGTCTTTTGAGACTGTATGTACGTAATTGAATACTTCAATTAATGCAGACCAAATGAAAAAGAAGGATAAAGGCAATTTGAACATCTCAAATAATATTTAATCAAAATAATTGTATGGTATATACAGAGTAAATTTAACTTAATACATTTTACATATATTAAAATTACCATCTTCACAGAAACACACAAAAAAAAAATGAATTCCTCAGTCCAAAAGTAAATGTAATGGACAGTCAAACCAAGTGAACACTAACATTACACTGATCTGTACACTTACTCACTCACGTGTAGGAGCGTCCAAATAACATTAACAGTGTCACTCAGAACATGTCTGCAGAAGAATCAAAACTAAAGCGGCAAAGTGATAAGACTTTCTCCAAGAGCTGTGAAAGCATTAAAAAGAAGCCATGGCTGATCAACAGCGTTGTGGACACAAATAAATAAATACACATCTTAAATTTCCCGTTTACACTCAAAACAGGAATTCACAAGCAGCCTGAATAAATTAAGAGAATAATATTTTCTGGTGTAGAAGTGATGTGTCTGACAAAGCCACACATAATATCACTAAGCTGTGGAGGCATTTAACTGACATTCATGTTACAAATTCCTTATTTTTACAGAATCCTGTGCATAGAAGTGGAAAGCTAAGGCCATTGGGGGCAAGAGTTGGAGTATGAAGAGAATACGTCTGAAAGCTTTGCGAGAGTGAAATGTACTTAATGCAGGCCTGGGAAAAAAAGTGTTTGCCCTCAATCCAATGAAAAATGCAGCTGAGCAAACTCTTGGGGGGACAAGTTACCTTAAACTGTACAGTGACATGTGGAAGGACATGAATAATAACACCTTAAGTAATACTTTCTAATCACAAAAACCTTGTGAAGACAATGCTGTGAAAGTAAATGACTTGGACAATAATCTTGATTTCCTTCTTTCATGCATCTTCACTGATTCTGGTGTGAAATGTGGGTAAAGAAAAGTAACAGTGAACAAACACTGAAGAGATTATTAGCTCTCAAACTGAGTTCCCCCACTAAACTGAAATACAACAGGCATTAAGTTCAACAGCCTGTAAGACACACTGTCTTCCTTTTTTTCCTTTCTGTTTTTGTTCTACGTTTTCAAACGGAGCTTCAGACATTAGACATACATACATAGATAAGGAATTCTTATGAAAAATGTAAGCATGTATGTACATGTGAATCCCTTCTCTCTTCTCCTTTGGGATGGACCGAGGAACTACTCTGAGTGACCCACAGCTTCACTCAGAGCCTCGTCTGTGTTGACAGCTGTGTTGACAAACTCTCAAGAGTTACCCGCTCACCAGTGCAGGTCAGTAGCAACGCTGGTTTCCTCGAGTAAGTAAAAAGGCTGTTGCATTCTTCAGGCCTCCTTCAGCAATGGCATATCTGTAGACAAAAGACCATTATTAGCAAAGAGGGGGTTTTAGGTAAGTAAGAAGTGTGTTTGAATTGGGCTTCACCATCAGAGTAGTCCATCTCAGAGTCCAGAGACAGGTTGTGATGGTCGCTGCCTGCAGACGGCCTTCTTTGAGAGTATGATGGAGCTGCAGCACCTGCGTGCTCCAGAACCCAGGTGGAGGATGAGGGTGAAGGTGACGAGGAAGACGAGGACAGCGGCACAGGGTGGACCACGGCCATCTCTGACTGCTGCTGTTTGAGGGAAGAAGGCCGAGAGGGGCCAGCCTCTGGCGCTGTGGCGTGCTGACCCTCAGACAGCACTATCTGGACTCGAGACTCGGAGCTGAGGGACGTGGCTCCACAAGTATTCACAGCCTCATCGTACGAGGGCAGAGTCACCTGGACTCCTTCCACCATGATGGACACGGGCTGTCCGGACACTCCCTGATCCCGTCTAGGTGTGAAGGATAAGAAGATAGTTAGTTACCACTAGTTTCTTGAGTGTAAAGTGCTTTTCCGTATTTTGAGGGCAGACTCACCGATGGAGGGATTTTAGTTTTGGCTGCAGAAGAACAAACAGCACCACCAGGAGCAGTATTAGGGCCACTGAGCTGGCTGTGGAGGCCACTATGGACAGGGCGGGCATCCCCAATGGTAAAGTTGGGTTGTGGTCTGTGAAACACATAACAGTTGACACAGTTATGTGTACAGAAGTTAATTTAATTATTTATGTAATTTTCAAAAACGTGTAATTTATTTGTGTACCTTGCTCCATGAGGCAGCTGAGCTTCATTTGGCTGTCCCATTCTCCATACTGACAGGTAAGGTATTTATAGTCTCCCTTCAGGACATAGCCTTCCTCACAGAAATACTCAATCACAGTGCCCTGAGAAAGTCTTTGGCATGGGGCGGGGTGGCAGGTGTAGCCCCCATTCGCTGGCTGAAATGGAGGCTGACAAACTGTCGGCAGAGGAGAAAGGAAACAATAAATACATAAACTCCACTGCTGTATGTTATTTTACTTGAATTCTGTTAACATGCAAGGGACTACGTTGTTGTTTAAACTGTTTTATTAATGTGGAGTTCCCTAAGTCTCCCTCCTGGTGCCTCTTTAGTTCAACCGCTCCCACTAGCTTACATTATTTAAAAACGACTTCATATCTTCTGGAGGTCTGTCTTTACCGTCACTGCGTATACAGCGGGGAGGTTCAGAGGACCAGTGTCCCAGTGCAGAGCAGGTGAGAAAGCTGGGTCCGTCGGGCAGGTAACCGGGGTCGCAGCTGTACTCCAGTACGGTGCCCACAGGGAACGAGCTTCTGTTGGTTTCTGTCAGATTAGTGGACCCGTGCTGCACCGTAGAGGGCCTTATACAACCTTAAAAAGGGGTAAACAAATACAGTTAAAAGCTGAATTTACAACAAAAAAACCATATACAGGCTTTGTCTATAAAAGCACTTAAAAGGACGTATCAGCTATTTGCGCTAATAGCTGATACGCGTCAGCTAATCTATCTATACCTTGTGCTATGTGAGGCAGCTGCTCGACATTAGTTTGCCCCATTTCCAATACTGACAATAACGGAATTTATAGTAGGCTTCAGATTATAACCTTCATCACATAAATACTGAATCCCAGTGCCATGAGGTAGCCTTCCACAAGTGAGCTCCTGTTCTCTGGTTGATATTGAGTGTGGCATACTGTAGATTACAAAAAAACACATAAACTCAGATGCTGTATCTTGTTTCGCTACGTGTCATCTTAGTGCATCTGTTTGTAATAAAACTTGCTTTGTCTCCATCCAAGGGTATTCGGAGTATTCAACAATCTGGGCAGCGCATTGATCATAATTTGTCTGTTTTTGTTATTGCAGTTGCTGGATGTTGATTTAAGAAGAAAGAAGTGTTTCTCTGATCTCTTGTGGAGTTGGTTTGTATGATCAGAGCCCCGATATGTCTCCGACTGCATTTACAGGAAAGCACTCATGTTGTTTTTGATATAAACAAACTGTTTGTGTTACGAACACAGAACGCTGAAATACATAGGGAAAATGCTTACACTAGGTTAGAACATTAAATGGAAAAATACACAGAATACATAAATATTAGGGCTGTCAAGTTAACGCGTTAATAACGCAAACATTTTTTAACGCCACTAATTATTTTAACGTGCGATTAACGCATGTGTATTTGTCCTCGGCCCACCCAGTAGTTTCAGAGCCCAAAGGCTTGACGTTGTTGTTGTTAGTTGGATGGTGGGAGAGGGGGGGGGGGGGGGGGGGGGGTGCTGCTAGTGAACTGTCAACGGGGGGGAAGCCTCGCTGCGGGGAAACGGCGGACCTCTGTCGGCGCAACTTCGATGACGCCGTTTAAAAACATAATAAAGTAAGGGCGGTGCCGGCCGTCAGCGAACCGAGCCGGCCGTCAACGGTATTTGACGACCGGCCGTTCTGTGGTTCTCCAGATTCTACAGACGGCCAGTCCGCCCCTGCTGACAGCCCCGCTCCTGCCGCTCGCTTGCGGCAGACCACGCTTGAACGTTTTCCGGGGAGACGCCTGGACAACAACAGCGATAGCTAAATGGGTGGTGTTGTAGATATTTAAACCTCGTCAATACTGTAAAGATGTACAATGAGAGTAATCAATAATAAACTGGTGAAAGCAAACAGAGTTGACTTAGTAGTTCTTTATACACGCTTGTAGGTACAGGTCATGCAAAATACAAAGTGGTTTGCAGGAGTGGACACAGGGGCAAATGTGTGTGTGTGTTTTATAGAGGACTGTTGCTGTGCAGAGAAGATGACTGTTATCTTACAATGCTCTCATAGGGTGGTGGCGAAGTCCATAGGGACTTGGCTTGGCAACTGGAAGGTCACCAGTTCAAGTCCCGGAAAGACCAAGTGCTACCGACTGTCCCAGCTATGGGCAAAATAGCAGGGGCAGATGGGGCTCATAGCCATGGAAGGCAACCCATCTAGGAGAAGGACACTCTGAACTAAAACCAGGACTGAGAGGAGTTGCGCCCCCCAGTCCTTAATCAGCATAGTAAAGCCAACCATGAAGAGGAGGGCTCGTCTGAGGACTAGAGAGAGATAGGGAGAGCCACATTCCACAGGTACGACCTTGGCAGGAAGCTACTGTGTGATAGAACAGGTCGAGTTGACCAAACAGTTTCTCAGCATAATATCATCATTTGGGTTTACCATATAGAGTAATATAAGAAATTGCCACTTAACATTGTGGAGGACGAGGGGCTGCGTTAGATCATTCGGATCGTGTCGACTGCACATCACACAGCACATTATTTTGACCCACAGTGGGAACTTCAGTCTCATGCTTTGACTGTTATGAAGACAGAGGAGCGGCATTTCACCGACAACTGTAAACAGGCTAGTCTGTTTGAGCAACTGGCTCAGTGCAGAGAAGTACACAAGTTTGGGAGAGAGTGGGAGAGAGGTTCCAGGTTGTTGTATTGAAAATATTCAGGAGAATATTTGTCATTGTTCCAATGATAATAAACAAACATTTGCATAAAGCATATTTGTCCACTCATATGTTGTACTTCTAACTAGCCACAAAAAGCGTGACCACATCACCCCAATTCTAGCCTCACTACACTGGCTTCCAATTCGGTTCCAAATTGATTTTAAACTCCTTTTATTTGTTTTTAAAGCACTAAATGGGCTGGCTCCGGCCTATATAGCCGAACTCCTCCATCGCTACACCACAGCCAGAGCTTTAAGGTCTGCTGACCAGCTGCTGCTGGTAGTGCCCAAGACCAGGCTCAAAACCTGAGGGCACCGAGCCTTCGCAGCAGCTGGCCCTAGGCTCTGGAACACTCTGCCCCTCCATGTGAGGTCAGCCCAGACCCTAGGGTTTTTTAAATCAACACTAAAGACACACTTCTTCTCCCTGGCCTTCTAGTCAGAGCGGAGCACGACTCCTGACATTTCCCTGTGTTTGATTTTTATATTTGCTGTTGTAATTTATTGTCTTCTGTTTTGCGATTGTAGTAATGTGTTATTTATTTTTTGCATGTACAGCACTTTGGCTCGACCAAAAATCGTTTTAAAATGTGCTTTATAAATAAAACCTGATTTGATTGATAAGAGTATTAAAAACTTGAAAAATATTCCTCTAAGGTACATCTAGAACAGATAAAAAACGTGCGATTAATTTGCGATTAACTATGGACATCATGCGATTAATCGCGATTAAATATTTTAATCGACTGACAGCCCTAATAAATATATATTTTTTAAACAAATAAAAAATCTCAAACTATTTACTAAAACGACATGTTGTAAACAGGTTTGAAGGGTGGTGAAAATGCAGACTGTATTAAAAAGGGGGTTTGTTTTTACCATCACTTCTTATACAGCGAGGAGGTTCAGAGGACCAGTGTCCCAGTTTGGAGCAGGCGAGGATGCTGGATCCGACCGGCAAGTAACCGGGGTCACAGCTGTACCGCAGTACTGTGCCCACAGGGAACAAACTCCTATTGGAGTCTGTCAGATTAGTTGAGCCATGCTGCACTGTGGAGGGTCTTACACAACCTTAAAAAGGGGACAAATAACAGTTAAGATCTCTAATTAGCTTAAATATATTTTGTATACAGCACATTTGTTACAAACTGGTAAAGTTAAAACTAAGTTTAGCTTTTTTAATTTGTTATGATCTATGGCATTACAACTTGCGCATTACAGATATTTTTGAGAATACTTCTAGAAAAATTAATTGATCTTATTGATATATCTCAGGTTGAGGACTGACCAACCTTGGCTCACACAACTGATCTGCATGGGGCCGTCCCACTGTCCGTCCTGGCAGGTCAGGTAGTTATAGTCTCCACTGAGAAAAAAGCCATCGTCACAGAAGAACTCAATCACAGTGCCGTGGGAAAACATACGGCAGGGCGCTGGGTGGCAGGTGTAGCCCCCATGTTCGGGTTTGAAGAGGGGTAGACATGCTGATGGAGGAAAAGAAAACTTAACAAATAAAGCAGCAACAAGTGCATGGTGTTGTTTATCTGTAACCATAAATCATTACACATAATTTACAGAGAGAGAAGATTTTAAATGAGGTTAGCTGCTCACATCAGAGACATTCTACGTTACTTTGCAGACTGGACAAAGACTGAGGTAGACTAAATAACTTACCACCACTGCGTATACAGTGAGGAGGGTCAGAGGTCCAGCGTCCGACTGTGCTGCAGGTGAGGATGCTGGGTCCGTCTGGCAGGTAACCAGGGTCACAGCTGTACTGCAGTACTGTGCCCACAGGGAAGGAGCCCCTGTTGGTTTCTGTGAGGTTTACCCAGCTGTTCTGGACCATATAGGGCCTCACACATCCTGGGAAGAAAAGACAAAACAAATTAGAAATTCTGTGAAACTGCGCAGGTTTTCAGCAGAATGAATACAATAAATATTTTGAGCCGTGTTTCATTTCATTTCAAACCTTTATTTAACCAGATGGTCCCATTGAGATCATAGATCTCTTTTTCAAGGGAGACCTGTGTTTGATACATGTTACCCAGTGAAGCCACCAGTAAGTTACACACAATATGACCTATAATAACCATATGTACTACAAGGGCATGGCACCACATGTGTCCAGAAAATGTCGAAGCTCTAATTCTACCTATTACCGTACATAAATTGCAATATTGTATGGTTTGGCAGTGTCATGGCTAATCCCATCCTCTTAAATCGGGACATCTGTACTAAATTATTATATCTTAACTTAGTAAATTATCCGTAACAATAATAATAATGCAAATATCACTGACATCATAATGGATGGTTTAGTGCTTTTTTATTAGGTCTGTAGTATTACTGAAAAATAAATCTGCTTGGATAAACTATCAAATGTTGAAAACAATGTTAGGAAACAGTCACTACGGTATCCCCTGTGCAGTATGACATGCAATACATCCCATCTTTGTCAGGATTGTTTGATTTTCAACCATTTTGTCTTATAAATAACAAAGCTGAATAATATTATTAATATTCGTAAAAGAAAGGTTAACGTACAGATACAATCTAAAATGCTTAACATTGTATGAGTGTTCAACCATCATTGTGCTCCTTACCTGACCCTTGCCCAGTGGACACTGCAGTCAATACCAGCAGCAACAAGAAGAACCGTTTAGTGGATGAGGTGTGGGCCCACAAGGCAACTGATGTTGACTGTATCATTCCATCGCACATCTTTCCCCGCTGAGTCAACTCAACCTGGTATGATCAAAACATATTGTAAGCACAAAAAGGCTATACATATTATGATGAAAAAGCAATCACCCAGAGCCTTGACCACATGCTGTCACCTGGCTGGCGCAGGTACTCTGCAGAGCTTGGACAGCTTCCAGCGAAATGGGTGTGATTTTGGTACAATGACAGCACTGAGAAAAAAAGCCTAGCAAAAACCATTTAGCAAGTTAGCGTTTTAATTGCGAAACCCATGCCAGTTGCTCCCTTTAATACCGTTAATTATCTAAACGAAGCGACGTTTTTCGCTAACCATGTCACCCACACATCAAATATAACCCTGTTCCTGAATGGTTCTATCGCAGCAGCTACACACCCATTTTCGGTGCTTCCTTGTTAGCCTTAATAGCTACGTTTGATAACGTTACAGGGAGCCAGGCCAAAACAAAATAAACCACTGTTATACACCGAGTGTACAATGTGGAGTATACTTAGCTAGCAACTAGCAAATGTGCAGACACCTATCGAATATGTATATTCAACGAAGCACATCACAGCTGGTTCGATTGTTAGGCTAGCTGCCTTGGACAATCAATATTAGCCTTCAAAGCTGGCTAACGCTAGTAAGACATAAAAAGGGCTCGTTGTTTAGCGTTACCTACCACAAAAAGACGGCCTCGAGTCCTCTACCTTCGCGTTCTCACACTGTATACATTTATTAACACTATCTCAGCTTCATTGACGACATTTGACGTTACTAATTAAACGAAGATATCATTTAATAATCGAGCGCAGCGGTGCAGCTACAGCTAACCCCTAGCTAGCTCCCTACTAGCTAGCTTGTTACCCGCTACGCTAGCTAGCAGCATCGATTGAAGCATCAGCTTGGCTGCCTCAATTCCGTCCGGCAGCCATAGTAACAAATGCATATTTCCATAGTTACAACATCCGGTACTGTTTGCGTCCGTAGTTACCAAAACACAAGCAGACAAGTTGTTTTACTTAGGCAAAAGCAATTTAATAATATATATATTTTTGACGTTTTACTTCTTGAAATCGCACCATGGAAATCATCAAAGGTACTTTGGATGACATTTCTCGACCTGCATCGAGTGAGCAGACAGGCAGCCGTGTGTCAAGCATGTCATTGTCTCATGGTGACAGAATTGGTACAACTACTCCATTTGCTCTGGTTGTTTTGACTAACGATGCTGCTGATGTTCAGGTAATTGAGTAAAAAGTGATACATTCATGGTTATTGAATTTGATAGAATTAGATTTCAAATAACGTTTACCCTGTAGATCCAGAGCCGTTATGAAGAAAGTTTAATCAACTCCTCATCCAGAGGTCTGGACAAAGGTAATTACATTTTTTCCTAATGAAGAACTACACTGTTTTTTTTGTATGGTCCCATTACTCAACACTCTTTATAATATTTGTGCAATATTAGGCCAGTGTCCCCTTGAAGTTTCCGATGAAGAAAAAGAAAATCCCCGACTACAGAGGGCCTTTGAGGAAATGAAACGACTTGATGAAATACTTTCTGCAAAGATCTGCATTGAAAAAGAAGTCAAGCGTCAAAGGAAAGAGCTTCAAGCTAAACTCTGGCAAGAGCTCATGGTAGACAGTGTTTGCATTCGCTCCATAAACATTACCAATTCTGTTTTTTTTAACCTAAAAATTGATCACTCATATCAAGTATGGTATAATCTAACACTTTTTCCTGCAGCAGAATAATCGTGAAGGTCACTCTGAATGTGCCCAAGAAGCCATGAACACAAGGTTGTTTTTGGCTCTGGAAGCACCCACTGGTAAGCAAAGGCATGAGTATACAGATCCTCATAGATCAGATGCAGTCACTGTGAGACATCTGAAATGTATTTTTTTTTATCTTACAGTAACAGAAGGGGAGGACAACTTTGTGCCTGTGTTTGAAACTCAAGTTCCTGACGGGGAGCAAAGCCAAGATAGCCAATACTTGGAACAAAGTGAGTTAATAAGAATCGAACATGAAATCAAAAGCAGAAGGCCTTTTTCCATGTTATGATCTCTGTTGTATTACCTATATTGGGCACATGATGGCGCCCTTAGTTTGGGAAACTAAGCTGTTTGTTTTTTCTTTCAAAGTAGACTGTGGCAGATGGCAGTGCACTAACTCAATTTGCCAGTGGTCAATGCATAATACTTTACCCACTATGCAACTCATGAACAATTTCCTGATCAAGATCTTGTGGCTTTTGGTGATATCGATTCCCCAGGGAAAATAAAAAACACCTTTCCCCCCCAAAAAACAGCAGATATAAACCTGATGTTTTTTCTCTGCCTAAATGCTGACATTTAGAATGATTGTCCACTTGTTATTAAACAGGCTTAAACCTCTTACACTTTAGTTCAAGCATGGTTTCACACCCACTATGCTGCCTTGCGGAGCTAGCATTCAATTAGTACCTATTCATATGTCACCATTTCGATATATTTGGGAAGCTGCAAACTACAATCATGTGGATCAGATGATGGAATAAAACTCCATTGTTTAAAAATGACTAATAGTAATTCCGTGATTTCTATCTGAATTGGCTGAAATAAAAACCTTTGGAATCTAATGTGTGGCATTGCCTGACAGGTGAAAGGAGGCCAGACAGCTCAACAGACTTATTTGAACAAGACCGTGAGGAGACCGGGGAAGAGCAATTTGAAGGCAGCCACTGTGGAGCTTCCAAAGGCAAGAGAAAACAGAAGGACTTTGTGAAGAGAAACATTGAGGTATGTAAAAGTTCACATTGGGCCAAATGCAGTGCTGGGGTAAATCGCATGACTTAGAGCAAGTACCTTAACCGTTTGTTTTCCCAATGAGTCAATTATTTTTCTCTCAAGAGAAAGAATGGAAGCATAGTAGGGCACCACAGCAATAAATACAAATGTTTATTATGAACTGATTCCATTCTCTTTTTCCCCCCAAATCCTCTAGTTAGTAAGTGGTGAGGGGGACCAAGTGCTTTTGACTCAGGCAGAGATCGAGCGTCTGGCCGAGCTCCTTGGAGAAGTAGAGGAAGATGAAGAGGAGAGTGCCAGAGGTGCAGACAGCGAGGTAGGGTGACATGAAGCCCTAACATACATCATGTGCTGCCAGATGAGTCTCTTTTTTAAGTTCCTTAATACTTCCCCCTCATGTCTTATGCGAGAAGCAGATGATACAATCCACTGCTTCTGTTTATACCAACATTTTGATCTAATATAACATTTTAAATTAATTATTTGAAGAACCAAATGTTCATTTCAGTCCACAACCTTTTTAAACAATTTCAGTTAAGGTTTTTTTTATTTTATCTGTGTTAGAATCTAACATTCCGCTTTTCAAATGCTGTTTTTAACACAGTGTAACTTTGGAGCAGCACGAAGAGTACCATTGGTCAGGCGTTCATGTTTTAATGGTTGCTTGGCAGCTCGGCAGCCTCTGGGCAGAAGATCCTGACTCCTCAATGCAGTTCAGATTACAAACCAGATGTCAAGTGGCATATGAAGTTCAAATGGAATGCTGCATGTCATAGATGAATTTTGTTATCACATTTTCATAACAATTCCCCCTATGGTGTTTCTGTGAAACCAGAAGCCAGGATCTTTCATATAGCCCTAATATAAGCTACAGTTACACTCATTAAGAGGGTGTGCTGATAGAGTTCACAGACTGAGGCCTCTTGTTTTCTTTCATGATTCATCTGAGGGCCCGTGCCACCTGGAGCAGTAGACTATTTCCCTGTGAACCCACCTACACCATTCTCACTTCAAATGTTTTTTTATTTTAAGTTTTCATTTAATTTAACAGCCCTTTTGGCAGGCAGTTTGAAGTCAAATGAGATAGAGCCTGTAGGGAACGAGAGAGAACGTACTTACCTTTCACATACGGTTCCATTTAGCCTGACCCCGACAGTTCTACATCCGTGGGACAGCTTGCCAGAGTTTGTCTTTTTTGTGTCTTGCTGCTCTATTTATGATGTTTGTCTTGACTTTCAGAACAATACTGCAGTAATTGTGGTGTCAGATACCAAACTGAGGGGAGCGCAGATGCTCTGGGTTCTTTTATTGGCTGGAGGAAGGCTTCCTGTTATTGCAAGGCGTGCTATCATGACTGGTGAAAACGGAGCGAGCACATTATTTATGTCAACAGGACTCTGGCAGTGATGCATCTTCTATTCTGTGGACTTCACTTATATTTTAGCCAAGACACATCAACCACTTGCTGCTGCTTACTGTTTGTCTAACACACTTTTTTTTATGTTACCAACTCTTGTTCTAACAAGTTCCACTGTTTTCTGTTGCTCTGGTAACTCGAGGCGGCAAATCAGTAGCTGTCACTTGATGGAGAACATTAGTGGATGTAATCTCAAAAGGAATCAAAGGAAGCTTTGACATGGGTAACACACTTATTTAATTGCTGTCAAGAGTTGATGAGAAGATTGATCCACTCTTGAGAGTTTTATGAAAACATCAAGATCATCCAAGGGACAATAAGCTTACTGTAGCCTTGCATAAAGAAAGGGAACAGCTAACCTGGCTCTGTCTGAAAGTAACACAATCCTTCTAATATAGCAATTCCAAAACTCAGTAATTACCAATATATTAGAGGCTTATTAAATCTGTAAAAATAACAAGTTATTGTTTGGCAGGCGGACCCAGGCTAGCTGTCCTCTCTGCTTCCAGACTTATTGCTAATCTAAGAAAACCGGCTGCTGGCTATAGCTTCATATTCATCCCATAAACAAGTGTCTTTAATGTTCTCATGTAACTCTTAGTGAGAAAAAAAAGTAAGCATATGTCCTTAAATGTCAAATAAAAAATGTTTTCCACCAAGAACGTTATGTTCTCGGTTCAGTTTGTTCGTAGGTTTGCTTTTGTCCATTGTCAGAAATATTAAGGACCAAATCCATGCCGAAATATTATGGCACTTGGTGGAACGGTGTAGCAATCGACCAAAAAAACATGCCATGTTTGAGTCACAAAACAGATACAACATTATACCTTACTTATGGAAACTACGTTGGTTGATGTCTGTACTCTACGAATGCCCTTCTAGTTTTAGATGGATTTATTTGTTGCGATTGTGGCATTCTATCATTCTGTCCTTTACAGTTTTATATTAAAAGTCCCCTATTATACTGTTTTTCATCAATATATTATAGGTCTCAGATATATACAAAACATGTCTCTGAAGTGTTTGGCTCGAAATACCAAAAAGATCATGCATTGTAGCATCCCATAATCCCCTCTGTTTCAGCCCTGTTTCAAAAGTGCTGATTCTCTGTCTGTTACTTTAGATGAAAATAAGGTGCCACTATTTGGTTAAAAAGAAAAACAATGGTGCTCTAGGAGGAGATTCAGGTGATAAGCTGGGGGGATGTTACCTTGGTAGCTTATTGGCTAATGGTTACACAAGCCAAAAAACATTATGACATCATAAAGTGGCCAACAATCTGATCAGCTCATTTTCAGACAGGTTTTTATATAAATGGATCAGGACAAAAAGTGAGTGAATCTTTTTTCCTGAACCTTTCAGAATCTCTTTACACAGAGGGGACACATGTTTATGTGTAAAAGACATGAACAAGTGGATTTTGCATATTAGGTGACCTTTAATCTAACAAAGGACAACCTGAGGCCTGACTGAAGTTGAGATTGAGGTTTTCTGACACATCCAAGTAAACCACTGCAATGGTTCAAATCTCCACCAGAATATATCTTGCAAATTGTTGATCTCATTTGTTAATTCTTGGCTCTGTGTGGTGCTCAGCCCAGTTGATAGAACCTTCTGTTTGCCGTCTTCAACTTATTGCAAGATTTTATCATCACTAGGCTGTGATGTGCTCACCAGAGACCCACTGTGTCCCAAAGGACTTCAGGAGTTTCCACTGAGGGGAAAAGTTTGGACTTTTATTAGAAGAGTGTTCAGAAGCATGTTCCCCATCAAGAAGTGTATACCAAGTGCCAGATCAGACTTGTAACTCTTTCCCATTTTACACATCACTGTCACAAAGTTGCCAAATAAGCAATAGATATTTGTCAGTACCCTACTTCACTACATAAAGCAGACTTAAAACCCTATGGGCCATGACTGATTTCAGCAATAATTTCCTTTCCAGGGGGATATGTGGGCCGTGTCCGTTTCGACGGGCCAGGGTTACATCCCTGAGCCCTCTGACCTGGAGCAGCTGATTGACATTGACTCCAAAATGCGCCTTCTCCTTCCTGTCGAAGAATTTGCCTCAATGAACAGCTCGTACAGAAACCTGACCATGTCCCAGGTATGTATCCGACTGCACTACTGTCTTCATTATTAGTTTATATCGTTTATTTAGAAATCGAAATGCCATTGAGAATGCGCTGTGGCAAGGTTGTTAAGTCTTTTGCAAGGTCAGCTCTGTATGGCTTGGATGGCAACCTCTTGTAAAATCGTTTGATATTGACCCTCAGGGAGTTACTCCCTTATTTGTCAGTGGGAAAAAACAGTATTGTGTAAGCTGCTGTAATTTGGAGCTGAGGGTTGCCTCACTTTTCCATCCTCTTTTTTCCATATAAAGTTTATATAAAGCTTCTTGTGCATGATTTGCTCCTTGTAAATGTAATGTAAAGCTTTTGCTTTGACCATTGTTTTATTATTGTCATTTTCCATATGAGCAATGGCAATTTGTATACATTTAGGCATTTCTAATATCATTTTGATACCAGATTTTTTGCCCATAAAGAATATTTTTTGATGCTGGGATTTCTATTATTTGGTTGATCTGAGTTATACGTATATATTTATACAGTCCGAGTTAAGTAACCAACTCATAAGTTTAGACTATGATCTGATCACGACCACATCAGACGGTGGAGAACCAACTTGATATCTATAACTGTAAAGATTTTCCATGCCTGGGTCCTGGGTTCGGGCCGGCTCCTAGACGTGAGCTCAGAACCGTATCTAACTGCATTTTAAAGGCCAGATGGCGTGCTCATCATTTGCATAACCTGCCAGTGGAAAATTGTGTTTTTGGAATCATTAAAACTTTACAATGCAGTTTTGCGAACTCAGGTGCCATTTTCACTATCACTACTGGATGTAGACAAGGAAAAACGGCAGTACATCAATCCTGGTGCTGGAACAGTAAATGATCTTTGTCATGTCTGGAATATGGCCGGTCTAATTACTTTCCCTACATTTGATGTGAAGTGAATCTTTGGCCTAATGAAATAGTACAAAGACTGTTATATGCCTAAGCAGCTGGATGTGTTACTTTATGAAACCTACTTCACCTCCCTTCCCACACTTTAATCCTCTTGTCTGGTTAAAAGAGTTTAGGGAAAGTCAAATTCCCCATCATCCATCCATCATCTGCTCTGCATTAGTGCTGAAATGGCTAATGCATGCATTCCATGATATAAATACGACAACTGTTTTGTCACTAAAGTAATTATTAGCAGCTTCAACTTCATATGATGAAAAATGTAATGTAGTGTTTTCTTGAAATGTAAAGTGAGAGATGGGTAAACCTCACACCTGGAGGACTTATAAATAAGCTTTTCCACTAGCCTTCTTTAATCCTGCCTCACTGGTGTGGCATATATTAGAGATACTCTGCACTGACAATAAATCTCTTTCAGAGCCAGCCATTCATTCCACATCAGTGCCTGTAAATCTTAAAGGTGGCCATAAAAGGAAATATGCTTTTATTTTTGCGGTTACCTTTCAACTTTGCAGTAGCTCGAACCAGTCAGATGTCCTAACTGAAACCATTTGGACGAAAAATCAGGAACCTGCGTGTTTGCTTGCTACAGGGAAGCATCTAAAGCACAAAAGAGATCAGCATATCTTAACGCCATTGAACCCCCCTCCATAATATTAAATCACAACCCAGATGTCCAGTTTGCTGTTCTCTCTGGTTTTCTGTGCACTGTAGACCCGTCACTTACTATATGGATGAAGGAGTTATTCACCTCTCTTCTCCATTCAGCACTCGCTCAAAGGATCAGTCATGGCTTGAATCTGTGATCTCAGAACTTGGCGGGATCTTTTCCCAAAAAGCTATGATTGATATTTTGAGCAGTCTGTGCATTCCTTGCAGTCCTCTTTGAAAGTATCCTCTCTGCTTGTGCGGGTAGAGGCAGCCTCGTGAGGCCTGGCACCAGCCGGGATACTGCCACAGAGGAGAGTCAGGCCCCCCCAGCACAACCTAATTACATAGCTGGTGAGGGCAGAGGAGTGCCAGAGTAAAAGAGGAATAAGGCCTTGCCTTTCATCTAGAGATATACAGAAATGCTCACTACATAGATATGACAGACTGCTGTTTACTGGGTAGAAAGAACAATAACTTACATATTGCAGCCAATCATTTTTCTAAAAAGGGGGGGTCATCTCTGCATTAAATGTTCATTTTGACACCTTTGTTGTCTAAAAACTGCTAAATGGCTGGGCCAAAAATGCCAAATTTAAGGCTGCAAAACAAACCGATTGTTGACATTACGGTGACCATTTCCACTTCCCATATACAGTCTAATATTATACTGACTGACTGAATGATAAGGCACAGAGAAATCCATGTCATACTGCCCCGAAACATAGAATCAGTATTTGTGAAAGCACAGTATCACTCATTACATTACCACGAGGTGAGTCACGGTGAAAGTCTGGATTAGACAAAGCCTTGTTTTCTTTGCCTCAGGTCATACTTGATGAAAAGGTCAGGTAGATCCTCCTTGAACGATCTGAATGGAATCAAAACTCTATTTGAACAGTGTTTTCATTGGACCACTGCTTTGGCATTCCTCATTTTTTCCCCCATTTTCTCAAGGCTTCAGCTGAAATAGCCTTTCTGTCATTAAAAACATCTGTTTGCACATAGGATTAACGTACAGTACCGTACAGCCTTCCTACTGTACCACTGTGGGAATGCCTGCCCCACCCACAGTCTGATCTCCCAGAAGAGGGGGATTCTGTCATAGAAATCAGCTGGTTTTGGGTGTTGGGTGTCATTGGGGTGTAATTGTGTGTGTTTCACAGATCAGAACTAGGCTATTCTCTCAAATGTGTTTTTCTTTGCAAGTGTGGTTACAATGAAAATGTGTCAATGGCATTATACAATATGGTTTTCTGTCACTGTCGCACTACATTTGAAAGCAACTGAACTCTTCTAATCAGCAGGGCTTCAACTTCTTCTGTGTCTGCATAGTAACAGCCCAGCTGTGTTTTTGTTGTGTATCAGTGGCTATATTTTGATGTATAGATGAGGTCATTTAGTCACATTGTGTGGTTGCTGATGAGCACCCATGATTTTAACTACAACCAATGTTAAGTGAGAGAGCAGAGTTTTGGGCAGAGAACGCCCTTTCGACCAACACAATGCGGTCGGCAGAAAGTTAGCAAATTTATCTTATTTAGTCCGGGTCATATAATTAAATGGCAGCGGAAAAGCTTTGGTCACGTTATGTTCCTCTAAAATGTAGGTTAGTGCCTATTTGATATCATCAAGAGAAGGCTGTGTTAGAATCCAAGATAGGCAGTCAGGATACAAGCTAACCTTAACATATTCATCAGGTTCAAAAGTTTGATGAAGAGAAACAAAACAGAACTAGAAAGTAGAAGAAAAAAAAGAAGCCGTGTCAGTTTTAACAAAAAAAAAGGTTTCTTTTTAGTAGCGATGACAGCAGGAAGACAAAAAGAACTTATGCTCTTTGCTATAAGGAAGACACTGTCCTCACTGGAATATGATGTTCATGTCCCTACTGAAATATTGGAAATATGATAATTCACAACAGAAATGGATCTGAGAAGTTTGGCTCCAGCACTTGGTAACCAACTTGCCAGTGAATTGATGTGGGTTTTTTTCAAGAGTGCATTACCGTGAAAAAGTTGGAATTCAAATATATGCTGGTAGTTTAATATCATCCTTGCAGCCTTTGTGGCTCACATATTTTTGCAGTAGTCTGGCTTTACAGCTGCATGGTGAGAACTAAGATGTCAGGTTTGTCATGTGGCATGCTTGCTGTTTTTCACAAGGTTAACTTGGCTGAGAAGAATTGACTCCACACCCTTCCCCACCCTATAATTCCCATGAGACCCAGTTTATTGTCATCTTATAAATGCCTCTCCCATTGGTGTTATCCACAGAAGCAGTAAGTGGTTCTAAGACATTTATTTTCCTGTTATGGTTGAAATCTAACTTCCAACTGTTAGATTTCACCCATTATGACACTAGTAGATTATTCAGTCAAAAATAATCTGCTAACAATAAAATATGCTTAAAGTATTCGCTAATATTCTGCCTCTATGATCCAAAATATGTAACATTCAAGCCTTTTAGAATACTATCACAACCCATTATTATTTGTAAAAGAATGCATGTTGTTGCAAGTTGTCAGCAGTGCTCAGTTCCATATTTGATCTCTCATTACAAAAGCATCGCCTCATTGTGCAAGACTTTTGGAAGCTGAATTGTTGGTCAAATAGTGTGCCTGACGAACAGCATGTGTCACTCAGACACAAGAAGTTCAAAAAACAACTTATGAGGCAAAGATGGTTTTTCCCTCCAGATGCTTCCGATAAATATTTATCATGGCGTGCTTCTTAAGCTCTTTGTTCACATTTATTTGATCTGTGTCATTATTTGGCGAACCCTTAAATGACCTTATTTTAGCAAAGAGAGGTTGTGTGGAGATGACCAGATGAGTTTCTCTTAACCATAGTAAAAGCAATAGACTGTGGAGAATTTACTATCATTTGGAGGAATCACAGATGCAAGACTTTCCAAACCCAAGCAGTGAAAACTTCAAACATACCGAAAACATTTTCAACCTTTGATTGCTCTTTGCATTCTGCTTAGATACTGAGAACACACAGGTGGTGTGGAAATGTAAACCCACAATCACATTCAACATGTTTTTTTGATTGAAATGTGATTGCTCCAGACCACCCTCAGTCCAGATGAAGTGAATCTTCTAATACTTCAGGAATGTTTAGCAATCATCAAGTTATCAAACTCTGACCTACTCTGATGTAAAATCATGAACTCTGGAGGAGGAAAAAAGAAAGAGATACAAACAAATTCCATATCTGGGACATTTTCTAAGATGGTGGAAAGAACCTTCACGTTGTCTTTTATGAAGCAGTATTAGACCGATTTTAGGCGAAAGAATAACAGTGTTAAAAGAGTTAAGTGGTACAGGATACAAATGATTTGCACTACCTTGCACAAAGCATGCAGGTAAGTATATAATGTCTATGGCAGACGTTACAGCAGTGTTACAGCACCTTTGTCTCAGAACT